CGTTCACCCCTGGTTTACGCAATTTATATTTATTTTTCAAGAATTTTTCATCAGAATCGCAGCAGACTGCAAGCAAGTCTACCCCATTGCTTAAAGATGACTTGGTTGACCAGACAAACGAGAACAGTGTTTAACATTACAAATGACCCACACAAAGTTAACACAGGGCAATACTCCAACTTAAAATTATCAAAGGCCTGTCAGAAAACAGTCAATGAAACAAAATGTTTTTTTTCAGTAAAGTGATGAATATTCTGACAAATTAACTGGTTGACTTCCAGTTTTTCAAATTGATCTTATTAACAAAAAATCCAGATGCATTAAAGGATATGTAAACCATCATTGTTATTGTTGGATAGTCACACAGTAATCCTTATTACAGTGATATACAGTAATCCTTATTTCTTTTGACAAGTGTGAGTTAGACATACAGGTAAATCGTAAATACAGAATATATATTATTGTACTGCAATAGCATTAGTAAATACACACTTTTGAAGTTTCTTGGGAAAAAATGTTTTTTACTTGTTTATGTCGCATTTTTGACTTGATGACAATGACTATGATGCATTATTAGCGATAACTGTCATTGTATTTATTATACATCTGACATCTAAAACAATAGAATTTACCTGTCTGTAAAACACTTTAAGGATGTGTTTAAAAGAGTGCATTTGAATGTCTTCCTTATTTGGGAATTGTGTGTCACGTTTATATCACGTTGAAACACTTTCCTTTTTTTACTTCAGATACAGAAGTGCTGATGGCGTATGATGGAAATAGATTATCGTCACTGGATGCAAAAGTTTGCACAGCAAGAAATGTTCATTGTTGCCATTTCGGGCACAATAAATTGTTGTTATTACAAGCAGGCAAAAGATGTATAATAATAAGGTTATAACAAGAATATGATGTGTCGGTCGGTATGATCACTGAACTGCATTCATCCATATTTTGCAATATTCACGTAAAACCTTCTTAGTAGTAATCTACACACTCCATATTCAAAGGATATTTTACATTCTTCTACTATTTTCTTCTCTTCACTCATTATGTTTCTGTCAATCTGTAGCTTTCGCTCAGCGACATGATCTAAAAAGTTGGATTCTTCTTTGTCAAGTCCTTTGTATATCAGGTTTTCTAGAAGACAAAGAATTAAACATGTTGCTTAATTATCAGATGAAATGTGCATACCAAGTAAATCATTGTTTTAAATCAACAGAATTTTCAAAACTGGCGTTTATAATACACAACGTGCTATATAACTAAATTTAATATTTCAGTAAAAGTTTCTACATTTTGACTTAACATAACAGTACCGTATAGGGCGTTATTATTCTCTGGGTTTTATTTCGCTGATAGCTAAATGTGATAAATTAAAACCCAGTGAATATGCTAATTTAACAGAATGAATTATTTCATTCATAAACCAGTGAATTTAAAACCCAGTGAATATGCAATACAAAATTAAAATGTATTGTTTTCTTCACAAACAAGCAAAATTGAAACCCAGTGAATATTCAATTTAACAATAGAATTTATATAAATATTTCGCAATTTTTCATTTCAAATGATTTACCTGTTCAAATGTAATCACTTCTTATCACAATAAAATAGGATTCTGAATGTGTGTTTGGAAACGATCAGTTGACGTGATCACAATATTGTACAGCCAATCAGATGATGAGATCACAATATTGTACAGCCAATCAGCTGATGAGATCACAATATTGTATGGCCAATCAGCTGATAAAATCACAATATTTTGCAGCCAATCAGATGATGAGATCACAATATTGTACAGCCAATCAGTGGATGAGATAACAATATTGTACAGCCAATCAGATGATAAGATCACAATATTGTATGGCCAATCAGATGATGAGATCACAATGTTGTACAGCCAATCAGATGATGAGATAACAACATTGTACAGCCAATCAGATGATGAGATCACAATATTGTACAGCCAATCAGCTGATGAAATCACAATATTTTACAGCCAATCAGATGATGAGATCACAATATTGTACAGCCAATCTGCTGATGAGATCACAATGTTGTACAGCCAATCAGCTGATGAGATCACAATATTGTACAGCCAATCAGATGATGAGATCACAATATTGTACAGCCAATCAGATGACGAGATCACATATTGTACAGCCAATCAAATGATGAGATAACAATATTGTACAGCCAATCAGATGATGAGATCACAATATTGTACAGCCAATCAGCTGATGAGATCACAATGTTGCACAAACTTACTGAATTTAAATTTTTCATCATACTCTTCTTGTTTCTTGTCTTTCTGATCTTGCAATTGTTCAAATAATGACCTTGGATCATGTTCTTCCTCTTCTGGGCAAACTACCCGGTATAAAAAAAATCAATGAGAGATTGAACTGTTATAGCCAAAATAAAACTCAACAGAGAGACTAAAACCATGGATTCAATCATGGATACAACTTTAGGGTAACCTTGGTTATGGCTTTTGTTACCGGGCCAGATTGCTTGTGCATTAGGTTTTTTTAATGCAATTATAAAATGAACAACAGCCCTGTTGTGTAGTTGTAAAAAAAAATAAGTTTTCTGTGGCCAATTGCTCTATATCTATCCAATACCATTAGCACGTGCAATTTATATATATAGGATAAAACAAAAAAAATGGGAAAGTCAACAGTAAAGTTCAATTTTGGAAAGCTGGTACAAAAATAATATCAGAAAAAAAAACATTGGTAGAACGAATCACTATAAAGTCCATTTAAATGAAATTTACATAAACAAAAAGTCAGCAACACCAAAATTAATTTAAAATTTGTAATTCAGGATTTATGGCTTGAGATGCATGATTGAAGTACCCAATTTCTAAAAGAATGTTAACGCACATTGGTAATGATGTTATTAAATACCTTCCGGTTGCTCTGCTGTCCTCACTTTCTCCCACTCTTCCTGCCTGGCTTTCCGTTTCTCATCAAGTTCATTCTGTGATACAAACGCTTTAAAGTTTGCCATGTCTGACTACCTTCTATAGCAAATGTAAAAGAAAAAAAATTTAATTAAACACAATGCTGTATATTATTTGCATAATGGTTTGTCACACTAAGTAAGAAATCACACCTGTTTGTGTTTATAATCAGTGGTTCTTCCAGACAGGGGAACAGGGACGCAGTGCCCTCATACCCGGCTTGCGCCTTCTTACCGAAATGCCAATTAAACTACATGCTGCCATGAAACATGAAATCTTTTTCAAAACAATCTTTTCTCCATGAAAACATCTCACCACCACTTGACAATGTGTCTGGTCATCAAATACACTAAAAATACTTCAATCGAGATACTGTTAGACGGTGCAAAAATGTTCCCTCTTATAATTTTTTTCTAGAAAAAGCCCTGATAATAATGTAGTAACTGTGAATGGGTTTTAGCTCATGCAATCTATTTAGGAAAATTTCCAGCCTGAATGAGATTGTCATCTTTCTTTTTTCAAGAAGGCCATGGTAAATGGAATGAATCAAGATATACCACTCTGCTTTTTTCCCAATCTTATGATGTCAGCAGAAGAAACACACACATTTACATAAATAAATCAGAGCTCAGGGAGTGTGCATAACCATGCTGATTAGTATTGGTATTGATTTTTCTTAAAAACAACAAAAGTACAGTCAAACCCTTTGTATAGTGTCCATGCAAGGCACTTCATTAAAATGGTCTTTATAGACAGGTGGTTACTTTATTACAGGCAGGATTATTTTTTAAGGATCACCAACCAACTCATACATTTGAATATATAGAATTTGCCCAGAAAATAATGAAATGGTACTGTTGCAACAAAAACATATTTATTTGATGAAACTATTTCAGTAAAACCTGCTTATAACCTCACCCACCATTTTATAACAGATTCCAAAAGATTTCATTAGATTCATAAACATATGTTGGGTTGGGTGAAATTCTGATCAGAAATTATTTTGTAACTGTCAATAAGAATCTAGCAAGAATCTAGTAAGAAAATACACAGAATTTTGCTAGATTCTGAGCAGAAATTTATTAGTGAGTGAGATTCTGAACATAATTATTTTGTTATACTGTCTGCTTGAAACTAGAAAGAACTAGCAAGAAAATACATAGATTCTTGCTAGATTCTGATGAAATTGTTCATGAGCAAGAATCTGATCAAACAATTGACAGATTATTGCTAGAATCTAGCAAGAGAAAATCACACGAGTAACTAAGGTAAATAAAGCAAACACATTCAAGCCAATAGTTTATTCACATATGACTGTCAGATGAAAATGCGTTTATTCACATACTTTTACATTATGCAATTGTTGTGAAAATGTTTTTGTTTCCCATCACTCACAAAAAAATCCTCCAGCTTAGGCCGCCACCCTCACTACCAGTCACACATGTATTGTAGTTTTCAAAATGTGATGTTCAATGTTGTTTGACTAGAAATACTGAATATAAGATATATATTTTTTTTTAATTCTTGATCCGAACTCATGATACCAGTTCTAGACGTTGGGAGATAGTAGAAACAATAATCTGTATAAGCATCAATCTGACGCGTATCGAGTGCACAGTGACTCGCAGCGGTATATAATTTATAAAAAACAGTATTGAACCGTGATCGAATGTGTAGACCATGGGGCTTATCACATCCCATCTGATTACGCACGATGTTTATCAGTATTTCGTTTAAATGCTAGTATAGACGGCAAAATCACACATTTACCTTATGTCCAATGGTATTCTATATGTTTCGTTGATTCTGGGAGTTTACATCCCGAGCAAAATAAAATTGACCGTTTAACCTCTGACCCTGGTCCTCGTTTTCATCATAATTTTAACGCATGCGCACAATATTTTGTGACATCACTGATAATGCGGAAGTGTTGGCTTTGTATGTAAAACTACAATCATTCTGTAAAACTACAATCATTCTCTCTAAAAATTGACGTATTTTACGTAATTTCGTATTTTCTAGAGCACCATTTAGCATTCAGTAATGGCTGCGTTAGATGATATAAGTACGCAAAGACGCGACCCGCCTGATGGAGAGGAGGACAAATCGTTACAGGATTTGTTGAACGCGGAGGGAAAGAACATCAAATCACTGGTTTGTCAGCGATGCCAATGCAAAGTATTGAGACCAAATCTTGGACAACACGTGCAAAAAGAGGTGTGTAGTTTTTAATTTCATACTGTTGTTAGTATAACTTCGAAAACAGAATTTCAGATTGAATCTTGCACGGTGGTAATTTGATATGTTAATGAGCTATTTTGATATTGACAGGTCGCATTAATTACATATCTCGGGCAGTCATATCAGTATCGTCTGGTATTGTAATATACAAACATATATTCACTAACTAAATAGACCAGCTCATTTTTTATATTATGAACTATATGGAGGTAAAAATAAAATGTAATGGTGTGATATGCGATGAAGCTTAGATCCTATGAGTATTGAAGAAGTCATACAAATTGCGATATGATCACGAATTTGCTAGCAAAACCAGCATTTCTAGAAATCCTAAAGCAAATTAGTCAGTCTTTGGTAAAACTGATCTTTCTTAATGTACTTGCATGCTTATTCACACAGCTTATAATAATAATAATAGTAACTTTATTGCATCCTTAGAAATTTAATAAAAAAGTTAGAGCAATAAAGATTAATTGTGCTAACTACTAATTGCTAATGGGATATAGCAATTTTTTGACTGATATGCATTATGAATATAGTTTTCATTTTTTTTATTATTACATAATCATACATGTGCATTTTACATTTCTGATTGCAGCGACAATCGTGCTTATTTCCGTTTAGGCAATCAAACCTTTCCTAACACCCACTGCGTTCTATGATGCTGTATGTTAAAACTTAGTTGTAATGCTTTTATATGTATCATGTTTTCTCCAGCTTTGTATTTATGAGGGGGATTGTCGCCCCTTCAGATCAAAATAGAGGGGGATTTTCTGTAACAAGGGGGGAATTTCTAATAAGCATAAATTTTCTTAATAAAACATTGGCAGTAATTGTTCATTATTTTCTCCACTTTCTCATTTTGTGTTCTGAAATGTATGTAATTTTGCAAATATAATAATTATAGTCCACACAATAATTTCATTTTTTGTTATTTATTTAATGTTAATAACATTCTGCACATGTTACCATACAATCAGAGAAATCCTGTCAACACAACGTGCAATTTGTTTCATGAACAATTGTAGTAATAATTGCCAAACACAAAAAGCTGAAAGGGAAAGCTGAAACATGTATTTAGTATTCTATTTTTATTTTCTCTAAACCTGAAAATACGTCTAGA